TTCTTCAAAAGATTAAATGAAACTGATAAACCTTTATCCAACCTTATCAAAAAAGGAAAGACTCAAATCCATACAATTAGCAATGAAAAGGGTGAAATCACAATAGACCCTGCAGAAATCCAGAAGATCATCTGTACCAACTTTGAGAAACTTTATTCCAATCAAATGGAAAACACAAAAGAAATGGACAGATTCATATCTATATGACCAAAGATGAATCAAGAAGATATCAAAATTCTAAATAACACAATATCAGTCAATGAAATTGAAAATGTAAATTACAATTCTACCAACGAAGAAAAGTCCAAACCCTGATAGCTACATAGCTGAGTTCTACAAGAAATTTAGAGAATATCTAATGCCATCACTCCTCACACTCTTCAGTGAAATAGAAAGGGAAGCAAGGCTTTCAAGCTCATTTCTGGAAGCAAGTATGACCCTGATACCCAGATCAGAGAAGGGTACAGCCAAAAGGGAACCACAGGCCAATCTCCCTAGTGAACATAGATGCAAAAATCCTCAGTAAGATACAGGCAAAGAGAATGCAGCAAATCATCAAGAAGATTACAATTACACATCCCAAACAAGTAGGATTCATCCCAGGGATGCAGGGATGGGTCAACACACAAATCAATAAATGTAATCCACCATATCAACAGAGCAAAGTATGAAAATCACATGATCATCTCAGTAGACATGGAAAAACCATTGACAAAATACAGCACCCATTCATGATAAAACTCTACAGAAAATCAGAATAAATGGTCTTTATCTCTGTATGATAAAGGCCATTTGTGACATCAGGGCCAACATCACACTAAATGGTCAAAAACTGAAAGCTTTCACTCTAAAATCAGGAGCAAGACAAGGATGTCCACTATCACCACTCCTATTCAATATAGTGCTGGAAACATTAGCCAGAGCAATTAAACATGAGAGAGAAATAGAAGGAATAATGATAAAGGAAGAAGTTAAGTTATTGTTCACAGATGCCATGATACTTCACATAGAAGATCCTCAAAACTCCACCAAAAGACCTCTAGATTTAGCAACCAGATTCAGTAATGTAGCTAGACATCTAGTAGCATTGAAAAATCAATAGCATTCCTGTACACACACAAAAAACTCACTGAGACAGAAATTAGAGAAACAGCTCCTTTTAGAATACCATCTTAAAAAAAAAAACCGGATGAAAGAAAGGAGAAAAGAATGAAGATGGGTGGGGACAGAGACACCACCTACCTGGCCCACTTCACCCTGCCACACGCTAAGTTCCCTTGGACCTTCAAGTCCACGGCTGCCTTCCTGTGGGGTGCTGGGCATCAGTGTGGACTCGTCTCCACTCCAGGCACCCCACATGTGGCTTGGCTCCTGGAAGGCACTAGGGACACTTTTCATATAGATCAGATCTCTGGAGGTCTGCTGGCCTCTGGAGCGGCCAGTGGGCTGGTCCTGGAGCAGGTGGCCCCCATTTCCAGTGTGATTCTAGTTGGCCAGACTTGGCAAGGAGAGGGGGCTTTCTGGAACTGCTACTCTAGAAACAGCCTAATTACTTCTTCCTCCTCCTTCTCCTCCTCTTCCTCCTTCTCTTCTTGGTCTTTTTGGGACAGGGTCTCGCTATATAGTTCAGACTGGCCTTCAACTCACCTTGTATCCCAGGCTGGCCTCAAACTCACAGAGATCCTCCTGCCTTAGCCCCCCATCTAGAGTGCTGGGATTACAGGCAGACACTACCATGCTTGGCTGCAAAGCCTTTTCCTGGTGGCTCTGGAAGTTGTAGGGCCCCTCTGTTCTTTCTGGCCCATATCCCGAGGACTTCCAGGTGGCTGCTTGCCTTCTAAAGCTGACTGTCTTTATCTTTTCTACATAAGGTGTTATTTTCAGTCTTCAGAAGACTGGGGAATTTGTGGGATATCTAGAGCAAACATGTACCAACTCTATTTCTGAGTGATTCCAGAGGGGATGCTGTTCTAGAGAGGGCCAGTAAAGAACTCTGCAAGGGTTGGGTGTGGTGGCTTATGTCTGCAATCTCAGCACTCGGTAGGCTGAGGCAGGAGGATCCCTGTGAGCTTGAGACCAGCCTGGGCTTCACAGGGAGTCCAAGGCCAGTCTGAACTACATAGCGAGACCCTTTCTCAAACAAAACAAAACAAAACACAAAATCAAACCCTGTAGGGCCCTTCCTGAGGGTACAGGCTCGAGAGTTCTATATCACCTAGGGAAGGATCTAGAAGGCACAGCTGGAAGGACACTCAGTCCCTTATCACTGCCAGAAAGATGGCGAGAGGGCAGCCTCGTGCCCTGTCCAGAGGCTCTGAATGGCCAGGGAGCAGGCGCACAGCCGAACTCTGTCAAGCGCTCTGCCTAGGACAGAGCTTCACAAGTGTTTTTCGAGTGGACAGACTCTTCGGGGAGAGAGAGACAGAGACAGAGAGATAGAGAGACAGATACACAGAGAGAGAGACACAGAGAGAGAGACACAGAGAGAGAGACAGAGAGAGACAGACAGAGACAGAGACAGGTAGACAGAGACAGACAGAGAGAGGGGGACAGAGAGACAGAGACAGAGCGACAGGGAGAGAGAGACACACAGAGAGACAGAGAGAGAGACAGAGAGAGGGGGGACAGAGAGAGAGATGGAGAGGGGGGACAGAGAGAGACATAGAGACAGAGTCAGAGAGAGACAGAGAGACAGAGGCAGAGAGACAGACAGAGAGGCAGAGGCAGAGAAACAGAAAGACAGAGAGAGAGAAAGAGAGACAGAGACAGAGACAGAGAGACAGCAGAAATGTTCCAGCTTTGAAGCACAACCTTCCAGAGACCCAGGGACACTTTGTCTCTTTTTCTTAAACTCAGAACTGCCAAAGACAGAGATGGCTCTGGGGTTAGGATCAAGAAAGCTTCCTCCCCTGCAGCCGGACTGCTGTGGGTCTGGGGTGTGATTTCCGCAGATCCGCAGCCCGCAGAGAGCTAGGACCCTTGCACTCCTCACCAGCTGTCATATGTCCTGAGCGCCCAGACCCACTAAATCTGGGTTTGACAGGTCTGGGACCAAAGGATCCAAGAATGCACGAACCCCAAACCCAGCCCAAGGCCGGGGGTGGGTGAAGCATAGGGTCTGATTAAAGGGAATGGATTGAGCTCAGATTTCAGGGTTTTTGCTGCCTCTTAGGTGTGGAGGGAAGATTCCTTGGATAGGGTCAAATCGAATCATGCCCCCATGGGAGAACCAAAATCGCTACTCTTCAGGGAATTTCAGGATACATCAGCCCCCACTGCTCTGCCGCATAATGGGAATTAAAAGTCTGCATAATTCCACATGCTTCTCATTGGTTAAAAAAAAAAGTCTGCATAACAATAGCAGAAAAATATGCCACGAAGAAATTCCCTATAATCAAAGTGGTCATTACCTGCACCTAAATTGCACACAAAAAACCCCCAAAACCCAATGACCCCTCAAGCATGCGCATGCGGGATGGAGGTGGGGGTCAGAGATCAGCGAGAGTTGGGCAGGCACTGCTGGCCGGGCCTCTGGCGCGCCTGCGCAGTGGGCAATGCAGCTGTGCGCAGGTGGGCGGGCTGAGGACCCAGGCTGTCAGGGCGCAGGTGCAGAGAAGCCCGAGTGAGGACCTGCAGGTGGGCGCCCGAGCCCACTGCCCCTCCCTGCTGGCCAGCATGGAGAAGCATCTCGGTTTTAGTGGGCAAAATACTGCATCATTCAGCTCCGGGCAGATCGCGAGGGTGACCCATTTCTATACTAAAACCTCCTGTCTCAGCCTCCGGAGTCCTGGGATAGACAGCAGGTGTGTGCCTGCTGCTAAATTTTAAAATTTTTGAATTTTAATTTTTGAGAGATATGAAAGAAGTATGGGGAGGCAGGCAGGGTGTGGGGAGGGATCCCTGGAGCAGGCAGAGGCCACTAGGGGTGCAGGGGTCTTAGGGAGCCTGGGGATTACGGGGTACTGGCTCCAGGCGATGCGAGGTGAGGAGGTGGCAGGACACAGACTCTGGGGACCTGTGGAGAGGCTGAAGCCCAGGTCCCAGGAGGATGAGAGAAAAGTTCCCACGTATGGCACGCGTGTTATCCCTGGTCATACAAGGCTGAAAATACTCGAGTGACCAGCGCCGTGGTGCACATCTGTAATCCCAGCTCTTGGGAGGCTGAAGCAGGAGGATCACCTTGAGTTCAGGGCCAATCTGGGCTACGTAGGGAGTTCAAAGCCAGCTTGAACCACATAGCAAGTTTCAGAAGAGAAGTGAGTGGGGGCGGAGCCAGGTGAGGCTTCAGCCCCGTCTTAGCTGGGAGGCAGCATAGGCAGGGGCTGTGGTTCCTGGGGGCCTGGGTGTGGGTTCCTGCGCCTGGCCTGGGTCCGTGTCTACTCTTTGGCCTAGGTTAAGTAGGTCCTGGTGGGAGCCGGCCCTCCCCAGCCCTTGGGTTCAGTCTGTCCTTTTGTGGGCAGTGATCCTCCTGCCTCTGCCTCCTGAGTGCTGGGGTAACAAGGGTGTGGAACCAAGCCCTGCTGCAAAGCTTGCTTTGGGCAGGGAGGTGTCCTGTGAGCAGAAATGGGCTGGAGCGCGAGGGCTTTGGGCTCACTCGGGGTGGGAGGGCCTGGGGATTGGCGGATACCTCCTACCAGGCTGTATCCTTAGCTCAGCTCCCCCAAAGACACCGGTCTCAGCGACCTGGGCTCCCCGCTTCCTGCATGGAGGGGGGATCCTGCCACAGACAGGTGAGCCCAGGAACTCACACCTTGCAGCTATTCTGGCCAGCCATATGCAATCCGCACACCAACCACAGTACCTGGAGGCCGAGGCAGGTGGACCCCAAGTTTGATCTTGCCATGGGCACTTCAGGGAGGATCCCTCACAAAATAATATTTACAAGGGGTTAAGGAGGAGCTGAGCTCAGAAAGCCAGCCAGGTGGGTTCTTAGCACTGGGGGCAATCCCTGGCACTGACTAAAGAAAAACATTAACAATGAAAAACAGACCAAATCGACATAGAAGTACATAGATTTATTAATTTAAAAATGGTCACTCGGAAACCTGCATGCTTTCTGTCTTTTTTGAGACAGGGTCTCACTAATGCCACTCAGGCTGGCCTTGAGCTCACTTTGTAGCCCAAGCTGATCTCAGACTCCCAGTGATCCTCCTGCCTCAGCCTCCCAAGTGCTGGGATTACAGGCGTGCGCCACCACGCCCGGCCTTTTAAAAATTTTTTAAAATTTTTTTAGAATTTTTTTAAATTTTAAAAAAATTTTATTAACCTGTGCCTTTTATCTTCAAGTCCTCAGATGACTTAGCGAACAATGAGGGGATTGGCGCAAGGCCTAGGTTCAGTCATAAAAACATAAGTAGGTGGGTGTGGTGCTCACCTGTAACCCAGCCCTCGGGAGTCTGGAGGGTCCTTGAGAGCTACACGTCAACCCTGAAATACATACTGAGACCACGCCTCAAAAGGGCTCAGAGATTGGTGGTTTGTGTGTCTTTCTCCTGACATATGTGGTCCACCCACACCACTGTCCAGCATGGCCTGCGTCCCTGGAGAGTCCCCTGCATGGTCTTCAAGAGGTCACTGGCTGCCCGCTTGGCTACCTGGATCCTCTGTTTCCATAGGGTTCCCAGAGGAAAAAAGCTGGGCCTGGCCCCGTGAATGACCAGGTGATGGGGTGTAAGCAGTATACTGTGGGGTCTTGGCAGCAGCCCATGTGCACAATCCTGTGACCCCAGGGGTGCAGCGGGGGTGGGCAGATGTTGAGCTGGAAGGCGGGCAGTCCGTGGCTCGTGTAGATGTAACCCATGGGGTAGGAGTAAGGCTGAGGCTCTCGCAGAGTGGCCCAGGTTGGGCTGGTTAAGACCTGGACTTCAGCTTTGGCTTTGCCTTTACCTTTGGCTTCGGGTTCAGGCCTGGCCTCCACCTCCTCCGCCTTCTCCTCCTCCTTTTTCTCAACTTCCTCCTCCGCCATTTCCTCCTCCTCTCTCTCCATCCCGGAGTCCATCACGGTGACATTGCTGAGTGGCTCCTCTGGGCTGCACTGAGTGGAACTCAGTATTTTTCTGAGCTTTGCTCTCTTGTTCTTGAACCACCACTGAGGACAGAGAGGACAGCGGGACTCACCACTGGGCGACACCCTGAAAGGCTTTGGTTGCTGGGTGAGTTAGTACACACCTGTCATCCCAGCACGCAGGGGGCTGAGGCAGGAGGTCAGTGGGGAAGGCTGGGGCCAGCCTGGGCTGTACCACTGGGCCCTGCTATGGAAAACAGAAATGCTCTGCTCTGCTCAGTGACCTGAGTTCGAGGCCACCAGGCTTCAGGCTCCAGGAAGGATGTGGTGGGGGGCAGGGGGTCAGAGCTGAAGGGCTCGGGGCACCAAGGGCAGCTACATCCTCTCTTCCTCCTGGAGACTGTGCCCCAAGCTGTGGGTTCCATCTCACCTGCTGTTCTTCTGTGGCCTCAAAGAATAGGCTTTACAATCTTTCCAGGGGGCACTGGGGGGTGAGTCAGGACCTGCAGGTTGAGCTACAGGCTCCACCCTTTTAGGCAGGGTTTGGCTGGGCCACGAAACTGCCCAGGCTGGGCTCAAACCTGTGTTCTTCCTGACTCAGCCTCCTAGAGTGCACCCCATGCTTGGCCTATTTTTTTCCCCCTGGTGCTGGGGATTAAACCCAGGACCTTGTTAGCCACCCTATCCAGTATAGGTTTTTCTATGAGACAGAAGTCTTCTGTGTTGTCCAGGCTGGCTTCAAATTCATGACCCACTCTCCTGCCTCAGCCTGCTGGAGTTGTTGGAATTTCAGGCATTGCTGGAGTTACAGGGCTGTGCCACCAGGTCAGAGTAGTGGGGATTTTTGTTACGTTTGTTTTTGAAATGGTGTCCAGGTGTATAAGCTAGGCTGGCCGGGGATACCTCTGGTGAGCCTCCTGTCTCAGCCTCCTAGTGCTGGATTACAAGTCTGTGCAACTTGCCTGGCATCAGGCTAGGTTTACAGTTAAATGTTTGAGAAGTGCCCCCAAGGCCCCACCTTCACCACGTTCTCAGACAGTTTTATCTTGGTGGCCAGCTCCATCCTCAGGTCGAGGTCTGGGTACTGGTTCTTCAGGAACAGCTTGTTCAGCTCCTCCAGCTGCAGCTTGGTGAATTCTGTGCGACTGCGTCTCTGGTGCAGCTGGGCTGGAGGGGGACATGGGATGCCAGTTCCACCTCAGCCCGAACCCAAGACTGGCTTTCTGTTCTTGCTCTAGTTTTTGAGACAGGGTCTCGCTATGTAGCCCAGGTTGTCCCTGAATTCAAGGTGACCCTCCTGGCTGCAGTACTGGGATCACCTGTATCACATGCCCCCAGTCTCTCCCCTCCCCTCCCTCCTTCCCCTCTTCATCTTCTCGTTCCCCTCCCCCTTTTCTTTCCCTTCTTCCCTCCCCCTCCCCCTTTATTTTTCTTGCAGAATTGGGCATGGAGCCCAGGCCCTCAAGTATACTCAGCAAATGCCCTGCCACTGAGCAAACGCCCTCCCCAACCCCAGGCAGATCCCACAGTCTACTGCCCCCCACCCCCAAGATGTGGGGATGCTGAAGAGCTCACTGTCTGAGACTCTGGAGTAGGCTGTGCTAGTTGTGTCCTCCCACGATGAACACCCAGGAAACCTGCGTGGTGGCAGGTGCCTGTCATCTTGGCACTGGGGAGGTTGAGGCCGGAGGATTGTTGCAACTTCCAAGGCAGCCTGGGCTACACAGCGAGACCCTGTCTCACAACAGTGAAAAAGCAAAAAGCAAAGTTTCACATAACATTGTCAGATGTGGGACAGAGTGTCTGTAGGGCTGCGATCCCAAGATAAGGGGAACTAATGGAAATGGAGTGAGTCAACTGGATGTGTTGTATTTTTAGGACTCACCACAGGACTCTGTAGCAGAGGTGCCACCCTCCTCCCTATTGCCTCTGGAGAGGTCCTCAGGCTCCATCTGCTCCTCTGGAAATAGAAACATAGAAAATTTAAAGGCAGGCGTGAGTATGAAGGCACTGGGCTGGAATCTCCGCAGTCTGCAAGGCTGAGACACTAGGATCACCAGTTCTATCTGAGTGAGGACAACTTAGCGAGACCCTCTCTCGAAATCAAAAGGGCTGAAGTTGGGGCTAGGGCCCTGGCTCAGTGCTAAAGTCCTGAGTTCCATCCCAGAGGTCTGGGGTTGTTGGGTTTGCTTTCCCTTTACCTGGAGCACACAGGGAAGAGGTCTGTCTCCGCGCAGTGCACCCAAAATGAAGGAAGGAAAGGTTTATTTGGCTCACAGTGTGTGGAGTTTTCAGTCCATAATCATCTGGCTCCCAGGCAGGGTGGCGAGGCACAGGGGCAACAGCTCAAGGCTGCAGCCAGAGAAAAGGGTGAAAAAGCAAGCCTCTTCTCCTCCCTTATATTGTATGCAGTCTCCCCTCACTCCCAGTGAGGGTGTAGCACTCACTACCTCTGTGCCCTCCTCTTGCACAGGCTAGGACATTTACAAAGTCAAGATCCAGGATTCCTGCCAAGTCTCTTACATTTCTAAACTTCTTAAGTTGACACAGTATCAACCATAACAATCCACCCCTTAGCAACTAGACACATTTCTTTAAATCAGTCTCTAGATACAAAGACATGCTTATTCTTATCATTTTATAACTTGGGAATTACAACAGAGATGTAACAATCCTTAAGAACCCGCACTAGGTCTTTCAACATCTTATTACATTAGAAACATAACATTGGGGCTGGGGATTTAGCTCAGCGGCATAAGCGCCTGCCTTGCAAGCAGGTGAGTTTGATCCCTGGTACCGATAAAAAGACCCAAAAAACAAAAAAACAAAAAGAAACATAACATTTTGTCTTTGGACCCCTAAAGACTTATGCACATCCTTTATGCAAAAGGAATTTCACCCATTTGCAAGAGTTGCCAAAGTCCTAACAGGTTCAGCATTGCTGAAAAGTCCAAGTCCCAAATCTCTGAGGTTCAAGGCAACTCTTAGCTGGAAGCCCCTGTACAAATGAAAACAAAATTAAACACTTTAAACAGTCTATGGCATAAGATAGACATTGCAATTCCAAATGGCAGAAACGAGATACAAAGGATTAGAACAAAAGCAAGTCCAAAATCCAGCAGGACAAATGTCAAGTCCTGTAGTTCCATGTCCAGCATCTGCAGCAACGTGGTGCAAATTGTAAGTTCCAAAGGGCCAGAGTGACCCCACCCCCACAGCACCTTTGGTGTTGTAGCACCCAGGGCTTCTCTCTTGGGCTCGCTCTGCTCCCTCATTGCAGGATTTCTTAAATGATCTATGCTTTTAGATTTTTCAAACTTCTGGGGTCTCCATTGCACCTTTGGTTTCACATAACTTCACACACTGCCCTCTCAGGGGCACCCTGCCTGGGCTCCCAGGCCTTCTGAAATCAGGGCAGAAGCCTTCTCAACCCCAGAAACCCTTGCATTCTGTATGCCCCTAAAACCAGCGCCATGTGGGTGATGCCCACATGCTGCTGCTTCCAGTTGGAGCAGTAGCTAGACTTTGATCTCTCTTGGCTGTAGGGGTCAAGTGCCGGGGCCGCTGAACAATCTGAACCTGATTCTGAGAGCAGATTCTCTATGCTGCCACCATTCTGGAAACTTGTGTGGCCAACGCCACCATTTTGCATTTTGGTGCTCTGCAGCTTTTATCTCAAAACAGTCTTTCACTTTGCAGGTTTGAAGCTGCAAAGGTTTGAGACTTGTGCTTTTTTTTGTGATGCCTTCAGGCCATCTCCTGTTCCTTCTCAACAATTGAGATTTCCTGAAAGCTCTATCTAGGTAGTCCATAGCTTTACTGGAGCCTTTTTTTCTGGTCAAACTCACAATTTTTAAAATCATTCTGTTAGGCTCTTTGCTCTTGATTTGCAACATAAATCTGCTAAAAGTCCCCAGCAATAGCCATGACACAGCCTTGACATTCAACAGCCTTGAAATTTCTTCTGCTAGATTAATCAGTCCATTGCTCTTAGTCTCAGGCAGAGTCTGGACACAAGCAAAACGCAGACAATCCATAACACACATCATCTGGAGTCCAACAACTGATGCAGTCCTTCTTTCCAGTCGAAATCCCTTAAGCCTGGTCTCTACTGGTCTTTTGGCCTCTGAGCGCTGACCAGAATCTCCAATACAGAACAGCCTAAGGTGTTCCATCTCTAATCTTTCAGGTGACATCTCCAAACTCTTCCCACAAGCCATTCCCAAATGTTCTTGGACCACATGGGAAGGTACAGTCACAGCAATGACCCCACTCCTCTGGTACCAAATTCTATCTTGGTTACTTTTCTCTCATCGTTGGGACAAAGTATCCAACACCCAAAATGCAGGAAAGGTTTATTTAGCTCCCTGTGTGTGGAAGTTTCAGTCTATAATCAGCTGGATCCAAGGCAGGGTGATGAGGCACAGGGGCAACAATCAAGGTGGCAGCCAACAAAAGCAGCCAGAACAAAAGGGGGTAAGTACAAGCTGCTTCTCCTCCCTTATACTGTACACAGGCCACCCCCTGCCTCCCAGGGCGGGTGTGGCATTCACACCACTTCTGTGCCCTCCTCTTGTACAGGCTGAGGACATTTACAAAGTAAGGACCCTGGCTCCATGCTGAGTCTCCTAAATTTCTAAACCTTTCAAGCTGATACAATGTACCCATAACATGGGACTGCCTGAGTCTCTGGAGTAGGCTGTGCTAGTTTCCTCCAGCCACAGTGAACACCTGGGAAACCACAGAGCCACAGGGTGTGGTAGCAGGTGCCTGTCATCTTGGCACCCGGAAGGCTGAGGCAGGAGGATTGCTGCAACTTCCAGGACAGCCTGGGCTACACAGCGAGACCGTGTCTCACACAACAACAACAACAACAACAACAACAACAACAACAACGCAAAAGCAAAATTGCACAGAGCATTGTCAGATGTGGGACAGAGTGTCTGTAGGGCTGCAATCCAGAGATAAGGGGAACTAATGGAAACCGAGTGAGTCAACTGGATGTGTTGTATTTTTAGGACTCACCACAGGACTCTGTAGCAGAGGTGCCACCCTCCTCCCTATTGCCTGTGGAGAGGTCCTTAGGCTCCATCTGCTCCTCTGGAAATAGAAACGTAGAAAATTTAAAGGCAGGCGTGAGTATGAAGGCACTGGGCTGGAATCTCCACAGTCTGTGAGACTGAGACAGGAGGATCACAAGTTCTGAGTGAGGCAACCTAGTGAGACCCTATCTCAAAATCAAAATGGCGGGGCTGGGGTTTTAGCTCAGCGGCATAAACGCCTGCCTTGCAAGCAGGCAGTCGTGAGTTCGATCCCTGGTACCGTTAAAAACGAAAAAGACAAAAAAAAAAAAAAAAAAAAAAAAAAAAAAAAATCAAAATGGCTGGGGCTGGGCCCCTGGCTCAGTGCTAAGCCCTGGGTTCCATCCCGGAGGTCTGGGGTTGTGGGATTTGCTTTCCCTCCCACCCCCACGCCCTGTACTCATGTAGGGAGGGTCTGCATCTCTGAGCAGTGCAGATCCTTAACAAGGACCCCTCCCTGTGCCAGCTGTGCTCAGCTAGAAACAGGGTGGGGGGAGCCGTGGGAAGCACGGCGGCATGGTTCTCCACCTGGGCTGGTCTCCCACCACTGGCCTGGACAGTGCCGCAGCCAAGCCCAGTCCAGACAGTGGTCAGCTGAGCCCAGCTCCTTTTGTTTTGCACTGGGGATTGAGTGAGTCCAGGTCCTTCACACGGAGTGACACCTCACCCAGTTTTAATTTTTGCTTTGCCAAAAGAGGGTTTGCTATGTCCCTCAGTAGCCCGGGCTGGGCTCCAAGTTTGGGATCCTCCTGTCTCTGCCTCGCGGAGGGCTCAGGTGATGGGCGTGTGCCTGAACCCGCTCCTAGGCTTCCTTCCTCTCTGCTTTACCTTCAGAAGACTCCTCCATCTTTGGGCCAGCTGTGGTCCGCACTCTGCTCCAGCGAGAGGAAGGGAGGCACAGTTCCGGGTTAAGTAGCAACCTCCGCCCGCCTCCCCCACCTGCCTGTCTGATCCTGGGATTATCCCAGCTCCAGGTTGCTTTGATCAGATACAGGTGTTTCTCGATCTAAGGAGTGCAGTGTCCTGCCAACCCCAGCAGAAGCGGAGGGCGTCTCAGGTCAGAAACGAGGTGACCAGGCTGCTCCACCAAGCACCCCAGCTTAGTCTTGCCCGGCTGTCTCATGTTTCCCTTTTCCACATTCCTGGGGATCAAACCCAGCCCCTCTACCTTACATTACTGCAGTATTGTAGTCCAGCTCTTTCCACTTTTTTCTTTCTTTTTTTTTTTTTTTTTGTCTTTTTGAGACAGGGTCTCTCTATGCAGTTCAGGCTGGCCTTGAGCTCACTTTGTAGCCCAGGCTGGTCTCGAACTCGCAACGAGCCTCCTGCCTCAGCCTCCCAAGTGCTGGGATTACAGGTGTGAGGCATCATGCCTGGCTTCACTTTACATTTTCTGAGAACTCTTATTGCGGCCCAGGCTGGCCTTGAATTCACCATGGAGTCCAGGCTGGCCTTGAACTCCTGGCAATCCTGCTTCAGCCTCCCGCATGCTGGGATGGTAGCCTCCATACCCGCATCCAGCTTGAGTACCACAGTGCTCTGCAGCTGGGCAAACTCATCCCACACAGAACTTTGAATTCATGCTAACGAGAAGATCACAAGGGTAACTGGGAGCATTGGGTCTGAGCTAGGATGTTTTGTGTTTGCTGAGTGCACAGACATGCTTAGTACTCAAAGAATGGTCCTTACCCCGGCCCCCTGGGGAGCTTAGGAAAATGAACACTCTGGCCTGGTGTGGTGGTGCACACCTGTGATCTCAAGCAGGAGGCTGAGGCAGGAGGATTACCATGAGTTCGAGACCAACCTGGGCTCTGTTTGAGAGACCTTGTCTCAAAAACAAAGCAAGTAGCGGCTGGGGATTTAGCTCAGCGGCATAAGCGCCTGCCTTGCAAGCAGGCAGTCATGAGTTCGATCCCCGGTACCAATTAAAAAAAAAAAAAAAAAAAAACAAAGCAAGTGGAAGCTGAAATGCAGCATTTCAGCTCCTTCTGGGGCTCCTGAGTTCAACAAGACACTGGGTGACAGTCCAGACAGAGATGCCTGGCTGGGCATGGTAAAAAAATGTTCGACATCACTGGTCATTTGAGAGGTACAAATTAAAACAACACTGAGATTCCATCTCACCCTAGGAAGAATGGCTATCATCAAAAAAATCATCCAATAACAAATGCTGGCAGGGGTGTGGGAAGAAAGAAATCCTCCACTGTTGGTGGGAGTATAGCCTGGTGCGGCCACTGTGGAAATCAGTGTGGTGAGTCCTCAAAAAACAAAGCTAGAGGTTTCATTCGACCCAGCTCTTCCTCTTCTTGGTATTCTCCCCAAAGAATTAAAAATATCGTACCACGGTGATATACAGGCACCCATGTTTATAGCAGCTCAGTTTGTAATAGCCAAATCCTGGAATCAATCCAAATGCCCATAAACCGAGGAATGGATAAAGAAGATGTGGTTTTTCACACAGTGGATTTGTTCTCTGCCATAAAGATAAGCTTGAGACGTTTCTAGGTAAATCGATGCACCTTGAGACCATCCTTTTACTGCACTGTTTCTCTGGTGTGGGAAACCAAAAGGATAAATAAGGACCAGATATATAATGGACACTGGGAAAGGGGAGGAAAATGTTCATTAGGGAAAGGGGAACAAGTGAGGCCAGAGGGGCAAAGGAAGGGTGGGAAAAGAAAAAAAAGAAGGAAAAAAAAATGGAAACAAAGTTTAGTAAGTAAGGAGAGGAAAAGATGTGGAAAAGAGAGGAGGGGAATGGGAAAAAAAGAAGCAAGATATTTCATGTACAGGCACATACTCTTTTGCTGAATGTTACCACTCTGTATATCTAAAATGTATCAATAAAAGAAAATGCAAACAAACAAACAAACAAACAAAAAAAACAACCCCATGAATAAACGGAAACAAAAAGCGCTAGCAGACACGCCTTTGGGCCTGTGAGAGACATACTATTTGTCTATATTTATTTATTTACTTATTTGATGACACCTTTCCTCCTCGTCCAGCCCTTCCCCTCCCCTCCTTCAAGATCCTGTCCAGAGGACTTTGCCCCGGCCTGGACCTGTGCGGCGGGGCCGCTGCAGGCTGTAGTATGAGATCAGCCTGCCCCGCAAGCTCCGGACCAATCCTGTGCTTGAGTTGCCGGGAGCAGGGGTCTCCTGCAGGTGTTGTCTAGCTTTTGTTTGTTTGTTTGTCTTTGAGATAGGGTCCCACTATGCAGTTTGGGATGGCCTTTGAGCTCACTTGGTAGCTCAGGCTGGTCTCGAACTCACAACGATCCTCCTGCCTCAGCCTTCCGAGTGCACCTCACCTGGCTCTAGCTTCTTTCTGTCCCAAGCAAGCAGAAACAGTGGCAAAATTTTATTAAAGGCGGGAAAAGAAACAGGTTCTGCAGGGCAAGTTTGGGCCAAATAAAGCGAGGGAACTGCATTTGCCCTGCAGCGTGGGAGCGGCCACCGTGCAGGATAGGACACTGGGTTACGGTTCAACATCCACGTCCAGGCTGCGGGCAGCTGCGGGCATCCTGTGAGAATGCGGCTCCAGTTCTCGCGAGAGGTCCTCGCGCGGAACTTTCGGAACAATTCTGCGCATGTGTGCTGGAATCTTGTCCCGCCTCCTTGTCCAACCCGGTTTATCCCCGCCCAGCCTTCTTGTCCTGTTTCCAGGAGAGACACTTATCCCAGGATTCCTCACGCGCTGCCCGGAGGGGAGTGCCCTATCCTCTGCGCTCCCTTCCGGCTGCAGCGGGCAGTGCACCGGAGCTTGTGCTCTCTCCAGCTGCCTTGGGGTGTTGCTGTGCTCAGGCTGGGCTAAGAGAAAAGCTGTTAGAAGGCAATGAGAGATTTAGTGTCCACTGAGCTGTGTATTCACGGGGAGAGAGAAACTAACTATACTATCTTGTAGGGGATGGAGAACCCGAATAGGAAGAGCAGGTCAGGCTTCCTGTACAGGCAGTCCAGCGACTTATTTAGAGCACAAGAGCCAGCGCTTGGCCAGTTTGCGCATACAGTGGAGTTGATTGAAAATGGAGCCTCCATGCGAGTATCCGTGGAAGCTGCGGTGAATGAGGTCGGCGGTGACTGCTTATCTGCTCTGGGGTGATTCATGCTCGAGCCTCACTTTCCGAGCAGTCGTCCTGGGTCTGCCTGAGGGTCCAGGAAGACCTCTCCTCTTAGCCCTGTGTGCATCCTAGTAGCCAATTAGTATGTGGGATTTTTCTAGCTTGTCACTAAGTCCTAGGAGGAAGGACCAGAATGGCTCCTCCAGAACTTGGAAATGAAGGTAGGATCTTGAGGGGCTGTAGGGCGCCCCTTCTTGCCTCCCTGCCGTGACCCATGCAAATCTTGAGAGTCTTTGGGTAAAGCACCACAAGAGGAGAAGAAAATGAAAGAGACAAAAGCTAGGGTGGTTTAGCTCAGCAGCCTGCCTGGCAAGCACAAGGTCATGAGTTCGATCCCGGTACAAAAAAAAAAGATTACAAAGTAGACAAGGTATCTCCACAAATGTTAAACCAAAGCTAGGGTCGGGGGAGCCCTCTCTCCTAATGGGAGGAAAGGAACTGCACAATCACTGTTTATTTATTTATACACTCAGGAGTATATTGTCAATTTCAACCCTGCTGCCTAGCAACACATTGCTTGGCTTATCTAGCTTAGTCTTTTGAAGCAACTCCTTCAAGTGGCTGGCCCCAGGCGCTGTTTGTTCTTGGGACACCCATGCCCTGGCCATGCATGTGTGGTCAATTTCCAGCTTAAAGGCTACCAGCCCCTCTCTATCAGCCTTTCAGTTTCCTAAGGAGAGCGCAGATATAAGCTCTTTGGGATCCCTTGTAGTGAATGACAGCAACCTTCTTGGCGGGACAGAGAACCTCTAAGAGCTGCAGAATTCCCTGCTTGTGTTTTATAGATGATTGCATTATCAATCAGCTAGCCTCTCTTTTCCAGATTTCTGCATGGACCTGTAGCCCTAGAGAGGCATATCTAGAGTCTACAGAGATATATGACTTTTTGTCTTTTGCTAATATCAATGCCTAGCAAAGAGCTATGACTTCTGACTTTTTAAAAAAAAATCAGATTTTGTTGTTACATTTTAAATACACAAAATGATCACATTCATCATAGGATACCCCTGATTTTTTGAGCAGAGGTTTCTGGGAGAAGTTGGTCTCAATGACCTATTGTGAACTGATGAGCATTTAGCTTGCCTTTTTTTTTTTCTTTTTTAAATTGGTACCAGGGATCAAACTCACGACCACGTGCTTGCAAGGCAGGCGCTTATGCCGCTGAGCTAAATCCCTGGCCCTTAGCTTGCCTTTCAATGTCCTTCTTGGACAAAGCTACTTTCATCAGTGAACCATACCCCTGTACGGTCTTGGAGGGGCAGATCACTGATGTTGTGTCTCTTTGCCTAGGTCCAGGATATTACTTGTTCACGAGAGTTGGGCTGGGGACTTAGCTCAGCAGCTCAAGCGCTTGTCTGCTAAGTTTGAGATTGTGAATTCCATCCCTGGTACCAAAAAACAAAACAAAACAAAACAAAATTATTCTATCAATTGCGAGTTAGAAAAAAGTATATAAAGAGCACAGAGACAAATCAAGTTATACACAACAGTGGCCAAGCTCTGGGCCTTAGAGAAGCAGGATTAAGCGTAGTGCAAGTCTTCATAACAACCTCTGGGGTGTCTAAGAGCCTTGGCAATCTGTTCCCTGTTAACCGCAAGTAACTTCTTGGCACAAGAATCACTGAGACTTGACAGGGAACCAGGACTTGTGGTCTGTTTCCTGAATCTTCCTCCATGAGCATAGCTATAGTTGTTATTTCTCTCAGGCAGGGTTGCCCTCAGCAGCCATTCCATCTAACGCTTTTGATAAACATATGCTACTGGGTAGAGTTCTTGTGCTACTCTTTGCCTCAA